GTTTCTGCAGCTCAGAGATTACCTTTGACCCACTTTCAGGCTGTGAAGTGACTCGGCTCACCTGGATACATGCAGGAGACCTGTCACTGCGTCAGACACTCAAGATCAGATCAATACTGCTGATAATTCAATCAAGCCTGTGTGCTGTCCAGTTTCAGCCTGCATGAAGTCATGGCGTGATACATCTGCATCTGGTGTTTTGTTGTGATTCCTTGTCTGCACACTGAGGCTAAACACTGGGGGTTAAAAGTATCACTTAAAAGTATCACTACTGCATGATGTGTTGAAGCTATTCAAATGTGGGAAAAAACAAGTGCTACAGCTCAGACTTACAGGTCTCAGCTAGCATGAAAACGTGTAAAATTCATGACAGTACAAAAAACACCAAACAAGTATGGCTTTTTTGGAAATGTTGCCAGGAGAAAGTCTATTCTGTCTAAAAGGATATGACATCATGGCTTATCCTTGCAAAGACTGCTGAAACAAAGTCCTGTGGTGTTTGGCCATAATGCACCACACCATGTTACAAACAAGGCACAAACACCACATAGCACCTGTCAGCACGGTGGTGGAGGGTTAAAGTTTTGGTGTAAGCTATGTCATAAATAAAGCTTTAGCTCGTATGATGGGCTGATGTCGCGTGCAAACCGAGAACATCTCCATAAATCAGTGACAGCCCACCTGCATGCTTCCAGGTGAGCTGAGTCACTCCACAGCCTGAAAGTGGGTCAAAGGTCATCTCTGATCTGCAGAAACACTCTTGCGCCCTTTAATTGGATAAGTGGTTCCTGCAACGGTATTGCTGTCACCTCACAGTAGGTGAAGGTGCTGGGTTTGAAGCCCGGCTGTGTGGAATTTCCTCCAAGAGCTCAGCTCCTGAAGACATGCATGTTAGGTTAATTAGTGGTTCTGCACTGGCCATGGAGGGGAAGTAGATAAATTGCTTAAAGTGCATAGAACAAGGTGATGTTAACATGTGACTTGTAGTCTAAAGACTAGAAAAGCGCTTAATAAATGGGAGTGCGCTACATTACAAAATGGATTATCAGTTAAAATTGAAAAAAGTAATGCGTACATATCTAACATTCAGATTCTGATCTAAATGAAAAATCTCAAACTGCCCTAAACTTGCATTTAAATTCAGTGGAAACAGCTTGTATGTAAAGTGTGTAGAAAAAAATTCCACCCATTGCATGTCCTCTGTTATGCTGTAAATATTTTGGGTGCACATCATCTCTTTCATAAAATACATGTTTTCAGGTAAAATGTGTCCTTAGGGAAGTTCCTTTCTACTCCAACATGCTATTTTTGGCTGCTCCTTTATTCACGAGGGGCCGTCACAGCAGATAGCTTCACATGTTTGGCTTGGAGGCGTTCACTGTCACAGGCAGAGAAGGGGGGTACACGTGGGACAGGTTGTCGCAGGGGTAACACATTTACACCTATGGGCAGTTTAGAGTATCCCGGTAACCAAACATGCATGTTTTGTGGAGGAAAAACACACAAGCTTTGCATAGAAAAGACCCACACCCCCTCTTTTTCAAGAGTGCACACCACAGCACTACCCTGTCCCAAGTGTTTTTACCAAACAATCACACACAGACTGAGATGGAGTCCTCAAGGGTAACTCAGGATTCCTGCCCAAGAATAATTTGACAAGCAGTCGAGGAGAGCCACAAATATACAAATTAGACTTATTCACATAACCTCTTTCTGTAAAGATATGAAAATAACCAATCACTAAAAAGCAAAACCTTTCATTATATATACCGTCACCGCGCAGAAGGTGACGTATTTGCCAATAACCTTCTGAAGTAGGGCTGTGCGATATGACCAAAATCTCATATCCCGATATAAGAATTCTATCGTCAGATATCGATATAAATCACAAAATTGTAACATTTCCTGTAAATTCTGTGAATCTCGACTTGCAGGAAGTGTTTCCAGCTGCGCGTCACGTAGCTGGAGTCGAGTGCATGAAACGATACATTTTTAGACATAAGTTGTAAAAGCCGCCGTTTTCTTTGTGAGTATTTATTACACAGCGTGCTGCGGGGAAAAGCCTGTTCTAACGTTTGAGTCTAAGGTTTATTTTTTAGCACCTGGGCGGCTCTTTTTTACTTCTCATCCGTAAATAATCTGCTCTTCACGTGATTCAGTATATTTTGGAAAGTCTCAACAGGATCTTGAGCTTTATTGTGAAAGCTTTATGTGGAACATAAACAAGCGGACAGGCGATGCTGTTACCGTCGTTGTTGCTAACAACAACGCATAAAAACAGGCGCATGTCCGTCTGTAGTGTGGTTATATAAAATATAAGAGAAAGAGAGAACTTTAAGAAATTAATATAGCCACTACAGTGACCATCAAAACGATGAAAAAATATTGCCGTAAACAGTTTAGTTTGCGACACCACGAAACAAACGATAGCGTAAAATGAAACATAGACGTTTTTATATCGTCATCCGATATATATCGTTATATTGAACAGCCCTATTCTAAAGTCTCTTCCAACTATGAGGTCCATGTTCCCTGTTCTGTAGTAACAAATGGAAAAGGCAGGGTTTCACTTGTTTCACTTGATAAATGGCATCGTAGATTATTAAGACTGGTTTTGTAAACAGGAGACACTGGAGTTGTTTTGGGGTTTTTTCTCTCAGGGTGGCGTCCACCCGACCTCCCCGTACAGGATAGAGTGATGGGATCTGAAACTGTCTCCAGTGTTAAATCCAAGTCCTGAGATTGTGATACCCAGCAGAGCTCTGGCAGCAGCGTGCATGCAGATTACATTTGCATATTCAAAAACTGGTCAAACCTGCTGCTAAACCAGAGCCGCTGCTTTTTTTTCTAAAACGAAACCCAACTGAGCTTTCAGCTTCCTCATTAGTTCCTTTTAAAGTAAACCAGGCAATTTTAATATTTCAGCTCCCGTTACCATCACAATAGTAGACCAGCACATCTAAGTTAACTGGGGTTTGGTGGTGTTTAGTGTTAAATGCCTTTAGTTAAAAGTCTAATCAGACCCTTTTTAAATAGCTAAAATAATCAGATTTGAAGTTAGGCAGGGCTTTTTCACTAGAGGGCGCTGTTCCAGCTGAGTGCACAGTGTCAAACTGCAGCCAGGTGAAGAATATGACGTGAAACTACTATGAATGAATCGATTTTTTTAGGAAAAATAAACTTTTTTGATTGTTAATCATCTTTTCAGGTTCTGAAGTGCACCCTGATCATGATACATGTTACACAAGTGATTTCATTGTTATCTTGGTCAGTGTGTCGTACTGAGAGTTACTCTGTGATTCCCACCTTTTTCTTCCACTCATGCTCCTGAGCAAACAGTATAAGGAGGTTCAGAGGAAGACGGAGTCCTTTCTAGTGCTCAGATTCGCAAACGAGGCTACAGAAATATTTATAAATAAAGTAGATGCACAACTTAACACATGAGCGAAGTTCACCAGACTGTGGTGATAGAAACGACATTAAAGGAGAAGGTCTATGAGAAGTATAAAGTCAGTCAATGACCAGCTACATGTAAATCTGTTGTGTACTTTGTGTATCTGGTGGTTGTGTTTGGATGAAATCATGCACGCAGTCCATGAGAAGAAGAAAAGAGCACGTTTCCATGGAAACCTCAGGTTATTTGCACACTTCACATCCTTTTCTCGCTCCCTCTCTCTCAGGTGCGTTTACAAACTCAACCAAAACCCAAACCTGGCGAGAGCCTCCTGTATGCTGGGACCATAGACTGTTTTAAAAAAACTTTAGCCAAAGAGGTGAGCATGCACACTGATGCAAACTCTGGTATTTCTTAACTAAAATATTGTTTTTGAGTCCTCAAACTGATGTTTCCTCCTCCTCGTCTTCCTTTACAGGGTATTAAAGGACTCTATAAAGGAATGGCAGCCCCCATAATCGGAGTCACGCCCATGTTTGCTGTCTGTTTCTTTGGGTTTGGGCTGGGAAAGAAACTGCAACAGAGAACTCCCGATGATATTCTTACGTAGGTCATTGCTTTGTCACGGGTGGCGACAGTTTGGCTTGATCCTGTCAGACGCTCTGTGGTCGATTTCTGAGAGTATATCAGCCCCGTTCTCTTGTCTCCTGCAGGTATCCACAGCTGTTTGCTGCTGGGATGTTGTCTGGCGTGTTCACCACAGCCATCATGGCTCCTGGAGAGCGCATCAAATGTCTCCTACAGGTCAGAGGTTAAACATGCATCTGATTGCTCTCACTTTGTTACCTGAGTAGTTGATTGGACGTGTGGAAACACACCTAGTATTTCTTTCAGCCCCTCCTGTCAAAGGTTAGAAGTTATTATTTGGAACAAATCTTCAGTAAGTGTAAAATTATGCGTGTGTGTTTGCAGATTCAGGCGTCCACTGGGGAGGTGAAGTATGCAGGACCCATGGACTGTGTCAAACAGCTGTACAGAGAGTCTGGAATCAGGGGGGTCTACAAAGGCACCGCTCTGACCCTTATGAGAGGTGCTGCTTTACTTAAATATTCATTATTTGCTCTTCATTTCTTAGTAGATCAAATATTAACACTTCATGTCATGTCTTCACAAAGTTTCTGCTTACATTTAGTTTTACTATCCAAACCCCTGGAGGCCTGACAAACATGCTCATGTAACCTTTCCCAAGATGTTTTTAAAGCTATTTTAAGTCCTCCATTGTTAATGTCGCTGTGTTTGCTGCCACATTGTTGCAGTGTTTGGTTCATGACCAACACCACCATCAGAAAAACTCCTACCACATGACATAGAATGAGTGAAATTGATGTTTTTGCTTTGCCAGCAAGAACAAAGTTGCTTTAGCTGTTCTGTCACACTGTGTGCATCTATCCACTCATCCACACAACATTAAAACCACCTTCCCAGTACTGTGTAAGATCAGATCGATTTTATTTATCCCAAAGTTGGGAGATTCCTCTGTTAGAGCCGATGAAAAAGTATAAATGGATAACATAAGAAGAATGGTATGAAACTTATTTTTTCCTTTTTTTTTTAAAATGTAAAACTTTTGAGATTTAGGAGAGTGTTCTGGCCAAGAAGGACAACAGGACAATCATAAGATGCATAAATTAGTAGCACATACATCCAAATACAAATCCATCCATCCAAATCCAGTTAAGTAAAAGCTAAATATATATATTTTTAAGGATAGCTGTATAAACTTCCGATGCAAATCCAGTCATTTTGTTCTAAGAGCAAGCCTGAAACATGACGGAAAGCGCTAGTTCAGAAAAGATCTTCAAGGTTTTCTATATATAAGCTTTCCTGGGGTAAAGAGTTCATATGGATGCCACTCAAAAAAAACAAAAAAAAACAACACAATTTTGGAGATCCAAAGTCAAACTTTCTGGATATTATCTCAAAATTCTGCAGTTATTTTCTCAGTTTGAGTTGGTAAGTTTTTCACTTGGTAAAAAAACTAGATCTTTTTACTGGTAGAAACAAGATTCTATAGCACAATAAGGTAAAAATGTATCAGAAAGATTACAATAATGTAAAACTAAATAAAAGTATAAATGGGGTGGGGGTGTCCCGTGGTGTCTTCCACTGAGGCGTAGGCCTTTGATGCTTCGGGTCCTGTGGGTTGAGGGGTGGGGTATCTGTGGGGCACGATTGTTTGGGTGCGGCCCACGGATCCTTGATGGGGTTGTGGTCTAGGCTTGCAGGATTTGGGCTCTCTGTTGTGCATTGTTTATGGTGTGGTGAAGCGCATTGTCCTGCTGGGTGTTGGTCTGCGACAGTGTTTAGATGGGTCGCGTTTGAATGCCAACGCTCTATTCGTGAGATACTTCTGGAGCATGCGGAGAAGCAGCTCGAGGCCACGTTAGCTGCTAACTCACACGAAACTGTCAGCAGCTGAGTCTCGCCGTGAGTGACACAGGCACCACGTTTTCATGAGGAAGAACAAACCAGCACACCCGAGGACATGTAATTTAAAAAAAAAACCCAAAAAAAACAAGTTACTTCTGTATTCAAGTTCAGTGAAACTCATTCTGATTATCATCATGTCTTTGATGTGTAAAGATGAAAACCATCACAGGGCGATCTCTGCCTGAACGGCTAACTAGGGCTACCCTCCAAAAAACCCCGAGATCTCTTCTAGTTTTGGTCAAACCACATCTGAGGGGTCAAAACTGAAGGAAAGGGTTAAACAGCTCTTACAGGCTTTCAGAAAATGTCAAACACTTCATCTTTAAATGAAAGTAATTATGACTTTAATCCATTTAATTATATATTATTGGGTAAAGTAGTCATATTTAAGTTGTTTGGGGTGTTAAAGTGGAAAATTATGAAGTTCAAACAGTGTGTGTGTATGTGTGTGTGTCTTTTTCTGTATGTGTGTGTGTGTATGTTTTGTAACTCAGATGTTCCAGCCAGTGGGATGTACTTCATGTCTTATGAGTGGTTGAAGAATCTCCTGACACCTGCAGGAAAAAGGTTCATATTTGCTCTGCCCTGCAGCATTTGCAGCTGTGTGTTTATATAAAACAGGCCGTCTGAGCACTTGGACTTGTCCTCTTGTCTTCGCAGCCATAACGAGCTCAGTATTCCCAGCGTGCTGTTTGCAGGAGGGATGGCCGGCATCTGTAACTGGGCTGTCGCTATTCCCCCCGACGTACTCAAGTCTCGTTTCCAGACAGGTTGGTGTTTGTGATCAGTATCCATCCTGGTTTAGTGCTGCAGATCCTGGAGTTTTTTTTTCAATTCTGCTGATTTATATTTGAAGATTTTTGCACTTTTTGTATTTTAAGATCATCTTCAGTTTAATTTTGTTCAGTGATTTAAAAAAAAAAATACATTCATGCTAAATGAAAGGATGCTCTGTAGCCTGTGGAAAGTTTGAAGCTGATTTTTCCATCAGTCAGAAAAACTGAAGATGAGTCCTGTTTCTCTGTCCGCTGCCTGACCTCCTCCTGGTATAAGCAGCTTTGTCTTTTAAAACGTTGTCTGTGACCAAGTTAATAAAGTGTCTTTCTCTCAGCTCCTGAAGGGAAGTATCCCAACGGTTTCCGTGATGTCCTGCGGGAGCTGATCAGAGAGGAGGGCGTGGCCTCTCTGTATAAGGGCTTCAACGCTGTCATGCTTCGAGCTTTCCCTGCAAACGCGGTGAGTCTACTTCACTTATTCTTCAGGCATGATGAATGCAAAAAGAGATAAATTTCACTGGAATGGAAATAAAGTGATTAAAATTTTTTGTGCAGTTTGTGCACTTCAGCCTTCTGCAGAGGCAAAGTGACAGCAAGCAAAAGCTGAAGCAGTCAAAGCAATGAGAAGTTTTCACTGCAGCCACTGTTTGTGCTTCTCATGCAGCTTGTTTGATCTTTGTAAATCATGGTGAACTCCTCCATCGCTCCCTTTCCTGTTCGGGCTCCCTGTGGAGCCGTTTTTCAGGACAGCTGCACACAAGCACATCTGCTGCAAGTCCCTCATTCTTCATACACATTCATAAACATGTTTTTTGATTGTTATTTATTTGGTTTTTACCTCACCTGTAAGAGGCTGATGGGGTATTGTCAAGGACATCCAAGTTTGATAATGCGATAACTGCGATAAACAAATTTGAATCTCAGTGACCTCAATTTCAAGGTCAGAGGTCAAATTTTCTGAAAATACTGTGAATGTGATAACTCAAGAACAAGGTGACGAAGGATTTTGAAATTGATAGCCTAGATGTGTCCACTGGGAGCCTACTGCATCGTTTTAAATACAGTTTACAGTTTAACTCTTGGACCATAAACAAAGCCCAGATTCACTGTATTCATTTCCAAAACAGCAAATCTGCAAAATATCTGCCTACTGGCATCTTTAAAGATGATTAATTGGCACATTTTATCTCATACATGGAAAAAATAAGTCTGGATATGAATAGTTCATATTTTGTTTGTTGGGCTGTTAGAAGATGGAAAACCAGGAACTTTTCTTTCTTCTAATTGTTTAGTTATTACTTGTAGTATGAATAGCCTTTTGGGAGGTCCTTATCAGCAGGAAAAGTTGTAAAAGTTATGAAAATAGAGTTAAAGTTTACACCCTCCTTCACATTTTCCAATGCTAACAAGTATCGGCTTACATGCAGATGACTGCTAACAAAGTGACACCACTTTAAAGTACACAGTAAGCGTCTGGTGTTAATTTCAACAGGGGAAGCACAGCGAGCCTCACTGTTCCACATAAAAATAACACAAATAAAAGCCAGCTGATTATTTCTGCGTATCTGTGGTGAGCTTTACTTCCTCCCCGCTTCATAGACTAAACAGTTTTTGTTTCTCATCTTTTTGTTACCAGGCTTGTTTCTTAGGATTTGAGCTCGCAATGAAGTTCCTGAACTGGTTGGCACCAAACCTGTGATGGAGGCTCGGCGTCACCTCGTTTGTGATCCCTGGGAAACGCACGGATCTGAAGAGATTTTAAAGAATTTCTAACTTTTTGATTGTTTCTGAAACATTTTGGTACAGTGCAACACGTGGATGGTTCAGACCTGCTGAGAGTCGATTGGAAAATGTTGTGATGGCCTGGCTGTAACCGTGCCAACACACA